TGCACATGATTTGAGATGGTTAAAGTGGCCTGCAAATCATATAGGACTTCCCATCCTGGGCAATTTATGTAGATCCATTGCTTGACAGACTTGGCTATTCTGAGAAGCCATCATGAGATAACACCAGCACTAAGTAAAATAAAAGAAGCCTGTGTTCAGATCAAGAGTGAAAATTTTGAGGGACAACAAATCCATATTATTGTTGGGTGTTTCAGTAAAAAAAAGTTACTGCCCATTTTGTTGTTGTTTATTCATTTAGTCACTTCCGACTCTTCGTGACCCCATGGACCAGCCCATGCAAGAGCTCCCTGTCGGCCATTGCCACCCCCAGCTCCTTCAAGGTCAAGCCATTCACTTCAAGGATACCTTCCATCCATCTTGCCCTTGGTCGGCCCCTCTTCCTTTCTCCTTTTATTGTCCCCAACATCATTCTCTTCTCCAAGCTTTCCTGTCTTCTCATTATGTGGCCAAAGCACTTCATCTTTGCCTTTAATATTCTTCCCTCCAGTGAGCAGCCAGGCCTTATTTCCTGGAGTATGGACTAGTTGGATCTTCTCATGAGCCAAGGCAGTCTCAGAATTTACTGTTTTATTCTCCAGTTAACAAGGAGCCATGGGCATTGTTCTTAGTAAGCAAATAGCTCTGAAGACTAAGGTGAAGGGATCTTAAATATGAAGCCTCCCTTTACAACTCCTTAGGTCTTATGACTGCTGTCGTTGTTATGCAGGGATAACACATGTGGGGGGCCATTTGGTGCTGCTCACACATGTCTCCTTGGGAAAAAACTCCTTTTGCTTCCTTTGCAATGTGTATCTCTAATATACACATATATACACATGCACAAACTCAGTGGCATATTGGGTCCTAGATGCCATTCCCCAGAGGTGGAACAGACTGGCTGCATCCCTTGAGGAAGCGAATGGGAAACATGTTGCTTTGTTTTCATACTGGGGCCTTTGGGAATATTTCTAATGAGAGAACAGACCCCCCCCTTGTCTGGATGGGAGGGGGGCGCCTGGGAAAACATACCCTCCAACTGACACTGTTTGGAACTGCTCTCCCCTCCATTCCTCATCACACACACACTTTTCCCTTTTCTTACAAAAACCATCTAGGGATCTGAAGCCCCTTCTGAAGCAACCTGGCCGATTGGGGGCACCTTTGAAACGTTTTAATTTGTTGGAAGAAAAAGGGACCCCTCTCCCCGCTCTTGAGGTCTTTGGGGAGTCCATTCCGGAGTATATCAAAAAACTTTCTGCAGTTCCGCCGGCTTCTGTACTGCTTGCCTCCTCCTGTGCTGACCTGATAATGTTTAAAGTGTGTTCTCCCCACTTTCTCCCCCACCCCTCCCGCCACCTTCCATTGCCTCTGATGTGTACTCTCCATTAGATGCCTAGGAGGATGGGCATGCTCAGTA